TAACGTGAGTCCTGTCACAGCACGGCCGTGTATAGGAAGGCGTGTGAGTATCACTCCGTCTCGCAATGTAACGGTCGCCTCCCCAACAGGTAGATGGAAGGAGTGCGTTTCCTATCTCCATCTCTCCGCGAGCGCAGTGACAAGTGCTCGATCGATCTCTCTGAACGCCATCCGATGAATACCGGCCAAGCCAGCCAACTTGATGTACGGAATAATACGTTGATCGACAACCCAGTCAGCCATTTGTCTGGTAGTGTAGTGCCTGCAAACCAGCATCCTCGCTGTATCAACCTGATAAATAACCGTACGACCGTAAATAATTTTAGATACTATATCAATTTAACATGCATACAAGTACATGAACTGACGAATGAAATATTATCGACTGATCCCATATGTCAATGCTCCGATGTTTGTCCTGTAGTGTCAAGACAGAAGGGTCAACAGGTCCGGGTGTCCTATCTTGTTCGTCCACGATATCTGTTCATTAACAACGTTATATACTAATTTTCAACACAGTTACAGGATTAAAAATTAAACACGAGCAAAATCTCAAATTAAAGGCAATGACAAACGGTAAATTTCAAATGCCAAACTTCAAAATTAGAAATGTTACAATTGTTTCAAACGTTACAAATTCAGAAACAGAAGCAAGCTAGTATTTTACTACAGCATTGTACAAATACAAAGTTAGGTCCCGGTCAGTCTTGAAGAACACGTTCTCTGGTTGTGACCTTGCTGGTGACAGCGGCTACATTTGCTCGGGGGGTGGTTAGTCTCATTTATTTCATTGCGTATGCGCTTTGACTTTGGCCGACCTTGTCCTCGTACCATGTTGTAGTCCGGAATGAGTTTAGGGCCGATAAACTCTGCCCAGGTCGTCTCGCAGGGGATAGGCCAGAATTGTGGTGCATAGGTGTTCGTATAGGCCTCCGATTGTAGCATACGGTCCACCCATGGCCGCTCTGATAGTGAATACTTCGCACAAACTGCTAGAACATGAGAACATGAGAGGTGGAATATCCGTGGTTTGTTGCATGTACACGTCCTCGACTGAAAGTTAACAGTATGTTTATGACCTCCTTTTCTACCAAGTCGCTCTCCCCTTTCGGTTATAACTTGATATATATGTAGCCGGCGGTTATACGCATCCACTCTATGATATCTTGCTTTTGTGGTGTTCTTCTCTAGAATGGCAATGACCTTGGGGGGGGTATGCAAGTCCCTATTCAGACCTAGCCTCAAAAGATTCCCTTCTTAAAGTGAAGTACCTGTTAACTCTGTGGAAAGTTAACTCGACAAGGGACATGATCGGTAGAAACCTAGCTCCCTTCAACACATTGTTAAATGTTTCAAAGAAGTTTGTAGTACATATCCCATATCTACGACCAGAGTTGTGAAACAAAGACCACATAGGAAACGACACTTGGACAATATACTCTATGACCTTGGTACATGCCTGACCGATCGAACACAGATCAGCTTGCAGTTTTCTTTCTTGCCTTTGGTACACAACAGCCTTGAACATATCTCTTATGTCATTGTTTCGTACGTGAGTCTTCAAGTTAGAAGCCATGTGGCGAACACAAAACTTGTGATAGGCTCGCGGCTCATTGAATCCAACGTTAGGATCATTAATTGCTGCAATGATCCCAGCATGTCGATCAGATATAACACAGAGGCCATCTCGTTGCGTAACATGAACCCGAATGCAGCCTAGAAACCTAGACCAGCTGGAAGTGTTTTCCCCTTTAACCAACGCAAATGCTAGCGGAAATACTTGGAAGCTTGCATCCACACTTGTAGCAACCAACAATGTTCCTTTATACTTCCCGTACAAGTGCGTCCCATCGATATAGATAACAGGCATACAATGTTTAAAACCATCAATACAAGGACCGAAGGCCCAAACACCCGATCAAACACTTCCATGTTGCTTTAGTAAACACCATCCACCAGAGCTTTGTATTTCCATACAACAACGGTTCCCGAGTTTGACTGTTGGAGTGCTTGCATGAAGTGCGAAAGTCTGCCATAAGAACTCTCCTAATCCCCGAATATTTCAGTTATAGCTTTCTCCTTGGCATACAATGCTCTTCGATACAAAACATCGAAATGAAATTGCTTGGAGATGAGATCTTATATGAATTCAACTTTCAAGGACGGATCTTTCTGCACAAAGGACTTCACATACTCAGATATTATGGACGAATCCAAGTGTGGGTGGTCAGTAGATAGTACTTCAGTGACACAGTTCTCCCGGTGCGGGCCTTTGTATGTGACTAGGGTGAAGCCACGCGCGTGCTCACTTGTTTTAGTACCCCGTAGCGACCAACTACATTTCCTCTTACACCGCAGATGAAGGACATTCTCATTCGAGGTCAATGTGGTGTAGAACTGATTCCTCTGTATAGAATACATCTTCACCATTTCTTGAAGCATTTTCTTACTTTAAAAAAACATGCCCTTCTCAAATTCTCCCCCAGGAACAAACGATGTATGACTACCCGATTCGGCCCAATACTGATTAACTTCGTAGTTCTCGTTTAGCTGACTGAACCAAGGTATGGAAGTTCTAACCACGGCCTCACCAACTTCCATGTGTACAGGTTCAACATCCATGTTGTCAAGACCATAATCCTCCTCTCCGCTCTCGGCCTCATCATTTGTTTCCGTGTACACATCATACACAGACAATTCATTATTCACAATATTTTCCAAATTTTCATGATGATTTAGCATAGGTTGAGACGGTGATGCTTCAATATCATCTTGCACAGGTGAATAACTATGCAATTGCGTCGGTGAAGGTATGACGGTGTTTGATGTCGAAGGACCCGGTTGGCCGGTCATTGCCACAGGTGAAGCTATATAAGAACTAAACGACATGTGAAATTAATCGTCGTGCAACATTCTACTGAAAGATTCCATCCCATATTCATTTGTTGGAATGTCGTGTGAGGGAATTTGCAAGGATTCTGTGTTGTAACCGGAAATATATGTAGCTTGTTGTTCAGGCTGAGTACTTTGTTGGGTACATATAGGCACCATTTCTACATATATCTCATTGGGAACACTCTTCATTGCAACGACGCTCCTCAAAGCTTTCAATTGTTTATTTGTAGAAACAGGTAACACTTGAACCCCGTTGACAGTCTCAAACCTCATTTTAATGTTCAGTTGAACATTCATTGGGTTTGAACCGATACTACTATGAACTTCGTTCACCAAATCATTGAAAGTCATGTCCAGTTCAAGGGTAAGTGGTTCCATATTTCCTCCATTATACAAAACATTTGGTCCAACAAACAGAATTTCACCTCCCCATCGACATAACAAAAATACATTTTGTACAGCCATATTCTACATAACAACCAAAACACATTTTAGGATAATTTAAATCTAGAGCAAGGTAAAAAAAAGTTGACAAGAGCCAATTAATTGTTCATTTCTTGACAAGAGCCATAATTTGTTCATTTGCTGACAAGAGTCTTCTCACCAAATAATGTATAGATAAATTATCAATAATGAAATAAGAGTCTTCTTACCAATAATCAATAGATAAATTATCACATTTTAAACCACGCTAATATTATAAACATGATGCCCTTAAATTTAACATAAATGTACCACATTTCCATCAACAATTTCATCAACGATGTACCACATTACCATCAATAATTATCAACAATTTACCACATTTTCATTAATAATTAGCAACAATTTGATACAATTTACAACAATTAACCACAATTAAGAGCAATTATCAACATTACACTAATATGAATTTAGGGTTTACCACAAAATTTAGTGAGTGAGTGAGAGAGAGAGAGGGGCAGCAGCAACAGCGACTGGCGGCAGCAGCAACGGCGACCGGTAGCGGCAGCGTCGAGTGCGGTGGTTGAGCGTGAAAGTGTATGGGTCTTCTATCGTTAGTGAGAGAGAGTGAGAATGAGAATTTGAGTGAAGTGAGAATGGCAACCTGCGAATTCAATCTGGAACATAATACCCAAGAAACGCTGACTGAGTCAGCGTTTTACTAAAAGGCATTTTTTTTTTTTGGTTTTTTAAAGTAGAAATTACGAAATTAAAAAAAAAAGGGTAAAACGCTGACTGAGGTAAAAAAAAAAAAGATGTAAAACATTGACTGAGGTAAAAAAAAAAAAAAAAAAAAAAAAAAAAAACAAAGGGTAAAACGCTGACTCGATCAACATTTTACCCCAGATGCTAAATTTGGTAAATTGTTTGACCATGAGTCTACTTTACAAAATAGTTTTGTAATTAGGCTTATTTTGGAAAAAAATCCTATAGATCATGTATATTGAGTTAATTGTTGTAAAAATGGACATTATTAGAATTGGAAGAAACTTCAAGAAGATGAAAGTGGGATATAGAGAAGCACGGAGAGCTATTAAGTGTTGAGTTTTAAATAAGACATGCAATGTGGCCTGCGTACTTTCGTACGAATGGATGGGTTGATATATTGATAATTTAATTGTGTGTGTAACCCAAGAAATAACAAAATGATTTCTAGGCGTAGTATTGAAATGTATACACATACTTTCTTTGTTTTCTTTTACTTGTAGGCTTATAGTCGTGCGTCAATTGGAGTAGTGTGACAATTAGCTATCAAAGGTGTCAAATAAAAGCGGAAACTAGTGATGTCTTGATATGAATTTTTTGGAGTTTCTCAATTTCATGTTGGTGAATAGCCACTTACGAGCCATAGCCACAGTCAACACCGTTCGAATAGTGGCCGGTTTAACAACCGACTAGTATATGTTTCATCACAATCATATCAACACCTTCAACCTAAGACCCGCATCACATACTAAATATGCTTTATCCCATTTTAGATCACCATTAACAATCAATTTATGTCGAAACAACATGCAATTAACACAATTCACCGTTGGTGGCGTAGGAACGAATTCTCATGTCCTCATTTCAATTAAAGCACTATATTTATCACGCATCGCATTATTCCAATTAGGGTCAAGAATGAGCTTATTTGTGATTTTTGGGAAATGGTGAGCGAGGTATAATTCGACCAGATGTGGAAGTGGTGAGACCATATTTCGGGTTTGGTTTAAAAATCTCGTGTTATGATCGTGTTTGCATAGGTGGAGAGGGGGTGGAGGTCTGGTTTGTAAATAGGTGTGCCCACGAAGAGGGGGCGGTGTATATGGAGGTTGGTAAGACCAACAAAAAAGAATGAAGGGAGTATAAGACTCGGCTTTATTAGCTCTTAATTACAAACCGTTAAACCAACCAAAGCCTTCCTCTTTCAATGACACAAAAAAATAAAAAATAAAAATAAAAATTGCTTACCCCTTTTCTTTTGCTTTCTGTAGTTTTCAACTGGTCCATTGATTACACTGAAAAGCAACCGGGGTCCAAAATATAAAAACAAAAATCCTCCAAAGTGGGAGATAATGTCACATATAAAGTTTGAGTAACCAATCAATAAATATTTTTTGCCCTACAAGTTTTAGTGGGCAAAGCATAAACCTTCTTTATGCTATCTGTATGAGCCTATGAATAGCAAGGATTATCACCTGTACTTTGTATCAGGTAGAGCATGTCTCTTCACATGCAATTACGCAAACATAATAAAATTAAACACAATCCTCTATAATCTCACCATGGCCTTTCAATCTAAGTTCTGCTTGTCGTCTTTCGTATTATTACTATCACTCATCAACTGTCCCGGTGCCACAACTGATAAGCAATCAGAGTATTTCAGCCTCATGAAAAGCGCTCTCTCTGGCAGTACCTTGTCTGAATGGACTTCCAAGGGAGAGAGCTCATACTGCAATTACACTGGATTAGCCTGCAATAGTCAAGACCAAGTTATAGAGATGAACCTTGCAAGGCAATCACTAAAAGGATCGCTTCCTCCGGATATATGCTCTTTCCTACCAGAGCTGCAAGTTCTTAATATAACCGGAAATGACATCACTGGCAGGTTTCCACACGGAGTCACCAATTGCTCCGTTTTGAAAGTTCTAGCCATGAGTGATTTATTGCTTAGTGGGAGGCTTCCGGATTTTTCCAGCATGAAATCACTCCGGGTGCTGGACTTGTCTATGAATAAATTCAGTGGAGACTTCCCACTGTCGATTACAAACCTCACTGATCTTGAGGTGGTAAACTTCAACATGAATGATAATTTCAATCCTTGGGAACTTCCACTGAATATTACTCGGTTGAGAAAGCTACAAACATTAGTCCTGTCAACAACAATACTTCAGGGAAGCATTCTACCATCAATAGGCAACATGACATCCCTTGTTGATCTCGAGCTAAGTGGGAACTTTCTGAAGGGTCAGATTCCTCCAGAGCTAGGAATGCTGAAGAACCTTAAGTATCTCATGCTTTACTATAATCAGCTCAGTGGAAAAATACCCGAAGAGTTAGGACATCTAACAGAGCTTACTGGGTTGGATATGTCAGTAAATTTACTGACAGGAAGAATTCCAGAATCAATATGCCGCCTTCCCAAACTTAAAATCTTGCAGCTTTATAATAACAGCCTCACAGGAGAAATTCCAACAGCTCTTGGGAACTCAACAGCATTGACCACATTATCTGTCTACCAGAACTTTCTGACAGGCAAAGTTCCCCAAAATCTAGGAAATTCATCTGCCATGATTGCCATAGACTTGTCAGAGAATCAATTCTCCAGCAAACTGCCACCAAATGTCTGCAGAGGAGGTAAACTACTGTACTTCCTTGCTCTTTCCAATATGTTCACAGGTGAGATACCTCAAAGTTATGCAGACTGCACATCACTTGTACGTTTTCGTGTTAGTAACAACCAATTGGTTGGCCTGGTGCCTGAAGGAATTTTCAGTCTCCCTAATGCAAATATCATTGATATTGCTGACAATCAAGTGACTGGAACTATACCTAGAGAAATCGCAAATGCAAAGAATATGTCGGAATTCTTCATTCAAAACAACAAAATATCTCAATCTCTTCCATCTGAGATCTCTGGAGCTGTCAATTTAGTGAAGATTGATCTAAGCAACAACTTAATATCTGGCCCTATACCCTCTGAACTTAGCACCCTCAAAAAGTTGGATCTCTTGTTGTTACAACATAACAATTTCACGTTCTCTATCCCTGAATCATTGTCCCAGCTGAAATCACTAAGCATTCTCGATTTATCTAATAACCAGTTGACAGGAAACATCCCTGAGAACCTATCTAAACTACTTCCTAGCACTATCAATTTATCATATAATCATCTTTCTGGTCCTATTCCTATCCCGCTAATGACAGGAAGCTTGGGAGAAAGCTTCTCAGGTAATCCAAGGCTTTGTGTTGAATCACATACAGATCCATCTTATAAAAACTTTCCAATCTGTCAAACTCACAAGCAGAAGCGATCAATTTGGTTATGGATCACAGAGGCCTCAGCTATAGTTCTTTTACTAGTGGCAGTTGCACTATTCTTAAAACCATGCTTAAGAAAAAAAGAAATAGCTAGTAAGCCATAGTTAGGTTTGAATTCATCTTCCAGCTCAAGGGGTGTAAAAAGCTCTTTATGTTTCTTTTTCCCCCTTTTCTTTTTTAGTGGAAACTTCCATATATTAAACAAAGCACTAGCAATGACAAATGACTTGCAAGAATAAAGGTTTACTATCAGCCCCAAAGGGTGTCGGTAATATTGAGTTATTATTAGTACACTAGGTCATATACACTCGAGGTTAACTCCTTAACAGCATCATAATTAAACATAATTGTATGCAAATTGAATTGAATCCTACAAATAGGAGAACCATGTCTATGGTACTCAGTCTCCAAAACAAATTTGCCCCATTTTCAAAATGAATATGATAGACATCACACTAAAACTAAACATGCTATACATTTGTGATGAATAAGTTGAAATCACCATAGGAGCAATCTAATTTCAAATACGATGCAAATTTATAAGAAGTCATGAGCACCATTGAACGGTTTATAATAACAATACCTACTTAGAGGATCCTGGCTTGCACAATTTGTTAAAATATTCAAATCAGTGAAATCCATGATCAATATGAATTGATTGTTAAAGATGCTAACAAAATAAGTAACAGCCTTTGGTCAAATTGTTAGTGGAAAACACCACTTTGTAAGCCAACATAACTGTTAGTAGCATTAACAACTACTAGCATGATTTAGTTAGTGGGATACATGGTTCCTTTGTTTATAGCACTAATGTTACGATCACCACAAATAAAAAAGGGAAAACAATTATAGGCCTCACAGTATTTTAGGATACGTGAATGAATGCTTAGGAAATGTAAGGGAGGAAAAGTTTATCTAAATTTTTAGGTACTATATAAATTAAGCTATCATGTGTTAAAAAAATAAAAAGAAAAAAAAAAACCCCTTAGAGAGAGAAAAGCTTGGAAATAATGTTTAGAGAAAATTTTTTGGGTGTAATTAGGGTGTGTGAGGGTTGTGTATTTTATAAGTGTTCTAAACACTTGTTGGTTTTTATCATTTTCAATAAAAGTTTTGCACCATAGTTAAACATACAAATACTTGTTAATTTATTTGTGATATTTATATTTTGTCTTATTCCCACTAATTTGATTTTAAAGGAAAGTTGCATAATGTTTCTTAATAACTGGTATCAGAGCCGAGCTGGTATTCTCTTGACATTCAAAGAAGAATCGTCAGAAACGATCTTTAACAATGAAGTCAGATTTGAGTGGGAGCAATGGCAGCGGACGGAGGAAAGGTAAATCTTGAAAATTTCGATGGTGCAAATTTCATGTTTTGGAAGATGCAAATCGAAAATTATTTAGACCAGAAAAAGCTTTATGAACCTCTCTCATAAAAAAAAGCCAGAGGTTATGAAAGATGAAGATTGGAATCTTTCTTAATAGACAAGCCCTCGGAGTTATTCAGTTAACATTATCACACAATGTTGCTTTTAATATAGCAAAGGAAGGACCACGGCAGGTCTGATGAAAGCTCTCTCTAGTACGTATGAGAAGCCATCCACTTCTAATAAAGTTCATTTAATGAAGCGGTTATTCAATTAGTGGATGACGAAAGGCGAATCAATTGCTGAACATTTTGATGAACTCAATTCTATCACAACCCAATTTAGTTCAATTGAAATTGATTTTGAAGATGAATTTCGAGCGTTGATACTTTTATCTTTATTACCAGATAGCTGGAATGCTATAGTCACAACTATGACTAGCTCGTTAGGAAGCAATAAGTTGGAAGAATTTGACGACGTTCGTGATCAGTTTTACATATAAAATCAAGAGGAAGAAATTCAACCAAAAGAAATGAACGTGGAAGATTAAGCTATTGAGTAAAATCCAGAGATTAGGGATCAAAATCAAGGAATCCCAATAATTCCCTGAGTGCTGGAATTGTACGAAAGACTGGATATTATAAAAATCAGTGGAGTGCACCGAAAAACCAAGAAGCATAGGAAGAGGCAAATGTTACTTCTTCTTTAGAAGGAGATAATGCACTGATATGCTCTATAGAGAGCAAGGAAGAATCTTGGGTGTTAGATTCTAGAGCATCATTTCACGCTACTTCGAAGAAAGAATTCTTCGAGAGGTATATCCCTGAAATCGGGAATAGTATACCTTGGAGATGAGTTACCTTGTTATATTATTGGTAAAGGTGTAATGAAGATTAAGTTAAATGGTTGATGGATGTTAGGCATATTCCCGACCTAAGAAAGATTTTGATCTCAGTTAGGCAGTTAGCCGGCAAAGGTTACACTACAAACTTCCAAGATGACAATTGGAAGATTTCAAAGGGATTAATGACAATTGCCCATGGTAAAAAGAGTGGTACTCTTTACAAGATAGCAGGGTGATGGGCGTTAGAACAGTTGCACATTCCACACTCATTCAAACACATTTATAAGCAAACATTCATAAGTAAGAGTTTGGTCCACAAGGAATAAGATATAATCGCTAGAGATCTTAATACGCAAGCTGGTTCGAAGACTTTTGTTGATTGGGGGTTTGTCAAGTAGACAAAAAAAATATTGCTCTAAATCAAGTAATTAAAAGCACTAGGGAATGGGATCCACTCAACCATGGTAATCCAACATATTGGGAGCAAATAGAGACAAGGGATAGCAAGGACTACATGTAAGACCAACCTCATGCAATTAAGAATACAACTCACACTTCTAAACTTAGATCCCTCATTAGTTTAGCAATAGGAGATACATAATCAAATTGCAATAAGTAATGATAAATTTAATCTACATTCCCATGTCAAACCAAGCATATCATGCCATCAAGCTCAAAATCAAGGGTAGCTACTCCTATCAAAATGAACTAACAAACAATCTCATATAATAAATTTAATCACAATTCAATCATCAATGCTTCTCCCAATTTCACTTAAATAACTATTAGGTTGAGCTTCACCCAACCCCTAGCAAAGAAGACTAATCACAACTCATTGTGAATAACATGCAAAGTTCCAAGTTTGGGTTCTAATTAATTCTAAAATTGGGGAAAAGTGATTTATCAAAGATAAAACTAACATGTAACAACAAATTAACAAGTTTAAGAGAGATTCAAAGAGTCTTGCAATATCAAAATAAAATCAGAAAATAAGTAGAGGTAAGTGAAAGAAGTTACTAATTGCAGCTTCCAATGTTGAATAAATGCTGAAAATCTGAGAATGAACCTTAAAGTTTGCTTCCACAATGATTATATTTGAGAGTTTCCAAACTAAATCATCAAGTAATTTAATGAACTAAGGTGCTAACTAAGAGGAAGTTTGCTAAAAACTGTTGTCTCAAAATGAACTGAAGGGGTAGTATTTATACACCCCGAATTACATAGGTTAATCCGTCAAAAGTAATCTGGATTCCCAGCCAGGAACGCCCGCTCCACAGGTTGGAGCGCGCGCTCCATAGGAAATGCGCGCCTGCTCCAACATCCATAGAAGGAGGCTGAATTCAACTTGACAGGGAGGAGCGCCCGCTCCCCTGTTCTTCAGTAAATGGCGGATTCAAGATATCAGGGAGGAGCGCCCGCTCCTCCTATTTCAGATTGAGGCAGATTCTAGCAGATCGGCTAGGAGCGCCCGCTCCCTTTTGAGTGCACGCCCGCTCCAAATGTTGTTTGCTGAATTAGATTGTGGTGCAAGGTGTAGGAGCGACCGCTCTAGAATAGGTGCACACCCGCTCCTGCTAATCTTAGAATTGTGGCAAAATTGTTGAAACTTGTAGGAGCGCCCGCTTTTGGAGAGGTGCACGTCCACTCCTCTAGGAGCGGCCTCTCCCTCTTTATGCTTGCTCCATCTTAAGCGTTCAAGAGCTATTCTTGGGCCAAAACTTCACCAATACCTACAAATGAAGTACACAAACACACAAGGAGAAAGAAAAGCCAAAATGCAAGAGTTTTATAGAAAAGGGGGTTAGAAAGAGGGGAAAAGATTACAAAATCAGGTTAAAGTCACCACAATAAGTGGTCAAATAAACCCCTTATCAAATCCCCCCAAGCTAGCCAATTGCTTGTCCTCAAGCAATTCACATAGCACAAAACAATTCAAAAGATTAGTTCGCTCAAAGAATAAACACATGCATAGATAAAAGAATCCTTAAGCAATAAAACTCGAGCATGAGGTATATGCCTAAGATTAACCACGGTCATGAATAGCCAAGGCCTAGCTAACCTTCCCAAAAATACTCAACTTAGGCCTATTCAAAAAATCTTACCGCGTCCCCATCACAAAGTTCAAATCCCCCCTAATGGTAGTGTCTCATGACTCCTCGAAGGAGCCGGGAAAACAAGAATATAGCGGGTTTTAAAACACTCGAAATCTCAATGAAAAAGTACCTTCTCCATATGCTTGTGAACCAACTCCCTCAGCTCCACCGACGATGGCTTCAACTACTCTTTCTAACAATACACAAAAATATGAGGAATTCGACACCAAGTTAAGGCATAGAAGAAAACTAAATGAGCTTGCATTTGATTCCAAGCTAAGATGTAATCCATTAAGAACAACCCTAAGAAGGGCTCTAACTTTGATCACAAAATACAAACCACGATCATACTCTAAGCAAAAATGCACCCCTAAGCTTGTTTATTTGCTAGGGTGGTGACAATTCATAAAATCATTTTATTTTATTTTTGGAAAACTTCAAATACAAAATTAACTACTATTTACAATGAACAAGGAATGTGCACTTAATAAAACTAAAATCGGATGCCTTAACTTGCAACTATGCAACAACCTTCATTAATAACAAGAGTAGTTTAAGTCGCGATCTTAGGAGTTGGAGCTCAAGTTCTCGATCTAGGTACTAATTCAAAAAGGATCATTGCCACTCATTCAAGATGTTGATGGCTTAAAAAATATAAAACCTCACTTTTTTAGGGCAATGTGGGATCAAATACTACCTTTCGGGGTCATATTCCTTCGAGACGGGCGACACCATATTACAACAAACCTAGACTTTAAGTCTCGTACATTCAGTAAGGTTATTCTCACACTAGCCTAAATCACAATTCTATGTTCAACCAAGGGCATCTAAACCATGCTCAAAATTTTATTACAAAAAGAAAGCAAGTATCTACCACATACAATCCAATATCATCATCACAAACCAATCAAAGGCAA